AATGAGAAACAACTTATGAGGTTGCTAACTAAACGGAACTAGCTAAATTCTTTGTCAAAGGAACTCGTTTGTTTGTTCCAGACAGGGTGAACTTTTTACTGTGTGTTCAAAGAAAATTTGAGAGGTGACACAGCTGTATAGAAAGTCAGTCTAATTCACAATGACATTTCCATATGAGTTGAAAAGGTTTCAACTTGAGTAAAGCTATTGTGTGTAGGAGCTGGAGCTTTATGAAGAATTAAAGCAGCAATGAAAGAGGCCCTCGCAATCCACGCACATCGTGGTGTGCCGAGGTGATAATACACGCTAGCACGCCATGCATAGACTACACTGAAAATTTCAAGTAAATCATATGACGATTGCCAGGCTTACTTCCTGTTTCCAGTAGGTGGCGCTGTGACTATGACTGGTATGTAGATGTGTTCTGGGCGACTCTTATCAAACATGAAGTTTGGGGCTGATTGGACAATACAGTCAAGCTGGAATAACTTCCTGTTCAAAGAAAACTCATTGGTAGATCAACTGTTAATCCTTAAGGTCTTCAGATTGCACCGACAAAATCTGAAGTAGATCTTATCAATTCTCCAGGAGTTCTTTGGCATCATGACGCCAAATTGCACTTCAAATTCAAAATGGCCTACTTCCTGTTGGGTTTGGAATGTGGCACCGGGAGATTTTTTTTGTACATCAGGACATTATAGATTTTCATGTGTGTATGTCAAATGTGCTGACAGAGCTGGTTCGTTAAAATATATTACAAGGCCAGCTGAATGGCAAAACGTACATTTTTGACACCTCGCCACCGGCACGCTGTTTGATGAAAACTCACAAACAGCACAACGTTTCATCATGATGAAATTCTCTAGAAGGAGTTTGTTAAAATACAATGCCTGGAAATGGAAAAAACGTAAATTCAAACAAAAGGACTTTGAAAGGAGTTTCATGAGTTTTCAAGCATGTTTATCTGCCATAAATGCAACTGTAAAAAACAAAACAGCAACATTTGCCGTGTCGCCACAGCAACAACAATGCTTAAGGGTCCCATTTTTATCCCTTTACTAATTTCAGCTTGATCTGGTCAATCTACTAGGAGAAGACATTCATACTGTTACACTTTTCGTGTTCACACGAAAAGTAACAGCACTTTTGTTTGAAAAACCAGAGAGCTTGAGAGAGAAGATTATACCTGACCTTTTGTCACATGACTAAAATGCTGCATGATGATTGTCAGATTGTGTGTAAGTTATCAAAATGGACAGTGCTCTTCCGGTTCCAACAGTGGAAAGCTTGGAAGGTAGGGGGTTCCTGATGATGTTTGATGATTCAAATCTTCATCTTCAGATTCTTCTGATTCCAAAGACAAAATCATTTTACAGACAGCTATGTTTTTCTTCTCAATGCACTACAATAGGAGAGTGTAACAGAAATGTTGTTGAGACAACCCTTTGGACAGCACCACCTGCTGTCCAAACCAACAAACTACCAGCTCAGGTCACATCTGCTCTCATCTGCTGCTCAGTCACAGAACTATGGAAGCACATTTCTGCCAAAATACATAAATAACATGAAAATGTAGCTTGATCATAAGAACAATCTTTGGTTCAATCAAAATAAATTATCAGATAAAAACTCACAATTTCGACATTTTATTTCACAATTTAAACTTTTTAAAACTAACTTTGAAGAAAACACATAAGGCTTTAAGTTCTGTTTAGAACACAGGGAGCCTTATAATAATTATTAATGGACGGAAACACACTGAGGTGTGCTTCCGTGGGCGTGGTGCAACCTTTACGTTTACAACCATTAAACTGAACTCAGTCAGCAGATGATTTCGTGCTTATAGAACCTTTGATCCATTCACTGTCTGTATTTTTATCATTTTAA